ACAGTACAGGAATTAGCTGCTACCTTCTGGAAACAGGAGCAGAAGATACAGCAAAACTGATTGGTTTTGGCAGTTCACACATTTTTTAGAGAAGAGAACTAAATATAGAAACGTGGCAGTAGGACTGGGAGGTTTTTGGTTTTGTCTTGTAAGACTTTTATTCCCAGCTCTGAAGGAGTGATTTGTGTAACCTTTCAGTGCGAGGTCTCGCATTTGTAATGGGGAAGAGAATAACAGAGTAACATCAGACCCTCAAAGTGAGGCTTGAGATGATTTTTCTGGCTGACTGGGCAGGACCTTTCTAGGCTGAAAGCATTTGGTGAGAGGAAGCAGCAACAGCTGTTTTGCCTGTAGAGTCAGTTCTGCACGTTGGTGCAGTGAGGGGACAACTGCAGTTGAGGGCAACGTTAAATGGGCAGCTCAGGGTTGCCATGAGATAGTTCTTGTTCCCACAGGTGTGTATGACATGGCTGGAAATACCTGTAGAGAATGGCTGTTGATGTGCCTTTGCAGGTTGGGAACTGTCCACCTATCCAAGGATCCTACTGGAATGGTAGCAGAGACAGCAGAGACACGTTGGGGAGGGGTGTGCAGTGCTCCTCATGATGTGTCTGGGATGATTTTGAGGGATGTAGGAAGTGGAGCTGTGCTAGCCTTCTTGCTGCTGATATTTCCTCCTCCTGTCATGGTTTGACTGGATTAGGAATGCTGGAATGCTGCAGACCATGGATGGGCAGAGCTTGCTGTGCCCTGTAAGTAGTGAGGAACTCATTAGTGCTCAGTGATAATTTTTTTATCACTTGGATTTTCAGTCCTGCTTTAAGCACTCACTAAAATATGATCAAGTGAAATATGGATTTTGCAGGAAAGATATCAGGAAGGATGTAAGTGTTGTGCCCAAGGCCTTGTGTGGGGTTGGATAAAGCAGTAAAAGCTAGAATTGCTCTGCCTGCATGCGAGATCCTCTCTCGTCTCTCACCTGGTTGATGGAAGCGTTGGAGCTCTCCCTGGGTGAGCAGAGCAGGATTGTTTGTGCTGGGGGGGGCATTCCTCAGATGTGTTTTTTAGACAAGAATATGGAAATCTTGTCTCCAAAGTGACTGTGAAAAGCTTGAGTTTTCCACGTGTTGTTTTGGGGTGCTGAGCAGTGCCATGGCACACCACCCTGTGTTCCTGCAGGGAGCACCGAGCGAGGGAGCAAAGACATTTTATCTGGAAAATGAGGGTATGGTGTACAGGCACTACCAGTTAATGGTAGAGGACATTGCTCTGGTTGTTGGAGCCCTTGTTGGACTAATTTTGCACTCGGATGGGACAAAGTCACTTGGTCAACAAGGGAAGGATTTTGAACTGGGAGTCAGTCTAATACCAGTTCCCTTTTGGTTTGGAAATCTTCCAGGCAATGGAATTAGTTATGTTGTAGCTTTCATTGCTAGATTTGGTAGTTGGGTTTCTTTGTTATATTTGTTTGTTTTAAGGTTTGGTTTCAGCTTTGGAAGGCGGAGGTACCTAGTTCATTGTAAAGTTAATTGAACTCGATTTGGTTGTTGCAGCCAGAGAGTTGCTTGGCAGGACTCTGTCAGACTTCAAGGATTTGTCAATCTTTTCATTCCTTTGGGTTTTGGCTACAATGGGTAAATTACTGCAGCGCCAAAGAGACAAATAAACAACCTAAGGACTGCAAAATATGTAGGTAGCTTTGCATGTTACTGGAAACTACAGGAAATATTGATAGAATGCATGTGTTGGATTCATTGTTGTAAAATTGTAGAGCCTTTTTTAAAGCTGAGTTCATTGAGACACTTACTGAAGAAAAGATATAATAAACCTGACAATTTACTAGAAAATACATTTTTTAAAGAAGAAGTCTTATATAATGATTATTATGTCTGCCCTGATTAATATGCATGGTTGGAAAACAGAGGCAAAAAAGGGAAACCTTTGTTTCCCAATGCATGTTTAAACTGACTGGTGTTTTCAGCTGCCTGCTTTATATTTCTCTATAGGTAATTTTAACTGTGCCAGCATAAATTTATGTCATCTTTAAATATAGATGTGCAGGTTCAAAAAGCTGCAAACATGCAAAGGTCATTAAAATTGAGACTGAATGAAAACATCAGACTTTTTTTTTTAAACTAAAATTAGAAGCACGTTAAAGGACTGTGGTGTGTTTATTATGGTTTAAATAACCCAAAATGCCGACATATGAAATGTTCCTCCCCCTACTCTTCTGTTCCTCACTGTAAAGGTGACAAAATGGGAATATGTCTCAAGCTTTCAGGATATTTTTATCAATGGCTTTATTCTCAGGCTGAAGAGGCAGAGGTGTTTCTTTTACTGAAACCAGAATAAACATGAAGGTTCATATTTGTGTAGTCAGTAAGGATCAATGAATTTTCCACAGTTCTGAGCATGCACAGCCTGTTATTAGTCACTATAGGGCCTTATTTTATTTCCAACCCACTGCTAAGCAATGTGGGTGATTAATTTAAGGCTGCCCTTTGGAAGGAGGTGGCGGTGTTTCTGTGAGTGAGAGGAATGTTACTGGTGATGGAAGTCACAAGGCAGCGATCCCAAGGCCAGTCAGGGTTTCCTGCTTCAGCTGTGTGGGCTGAGGAAGCAGGAGTTAGGACTTGGGAGCAGGATACCCAGCAGGGCTGTGCTGGATGGGTGTGAGGGACACAGCTGCTCGGGCTGTGGAATGGAGAGCTGTTATTCCCTGTAACACCATGTGCAGGATTGTGCCATTTCTTTTCGGGCTCCTGCCTCTGAGCTGTTCGTTTTCTGGCTTGTCAGCACTGACAGTTCTTGTATTTTTATTATCACAAGAGAGCAGAAGGGCAGCTGTGTCTCTTCAGATGGTGCAGTCTGGACCAGACCACAGGGATGGGTTTTTTCCAGCCCTGTTCTGCAGTTCCCTCTTTGGCACAGGGGCACAGAGAGCCCCCCAGGCCCTCTGGGGGGTGTCAGCTCTGCCCCCACCACCTTGTCAAGGCTGTGGGTCCAGTCACCTCTGAAACAGTTCCTTTATACCTTTCACCCCATACTTTCTTTCAGGCTAGGGCTTTGCTTTTCAAATAAGTTCTCTCTGAGGAAGTATCCTTTTCCCAGTCTGTGAAAGCACTTCCCTGGAGTGGGTGTGTGCTGCTGGTTACTACAGCTGAGCATGCACAGCCCAACAGTTGTGAAGGGTGAGAACTAGGTTAAAAGAGAAAATTAAACAGAAAAATCCCATGTAGCAGTTGTGCAGGATGCCTTAAACACCTGTGGGAAATAGCTCACGTGGAGCACACATAAATTTTCTTAAACTTCTTTAGAAAGCTTTTCTGAAAAACAAGGTTGCCCAGTATCCTGCTAGAATTAGATAATCTGAAGATCCAAGCTGGATAGGTTTCCTTTGAGGTCCAGTTAGCATAGGCATGTGTGTGCAAAAAATACACCTTTTTCTTCAACCTGGTTCCCATTGTAGTGAACTTCTCCATTTCAGAGATCTGAGCACTGCCTTTATTTTGCTGTGTAGGAAATCAACTCAGAACTGAACTCAGTCTGATGCTGGGTTTGTTTTATAACAAATCTTACCAGTGTGTGAAGTGGTTGCTTTATGTTGTGGACTGGGCTTGCTGTTCCCCTTTAAACCATAGTAATGGGCAGTGTCTCTATTTTGGAAATGGCACAAATAGTGTATATAACATTTTTTGTTCCTGGAAAATTCAGACTAACTTTGTGTCCTGGTGAAACTGGAGAGTTTTTCCACCAACATGGCTGTGGAAAATGACCCCCTTTAAACCATTAGTGTTAGAGTGGTACCTTTAACTCCAAACGAACCTCTCTCCTTTGTTAGCATTTGTTTTGCAACAAAGTGGCTTACTAATTATATGGTAGTTAGTGACCAATTAAATGGCCAATGAGATGGCAGCATATAGAGAAAAATTTAAATTTGATGCTACTGTTGGTAGCATGAAGTACCAAGTACTGGAAGAACTGGTTGTATGCAACTGTGAGTCTAATTGGAACTGTAGTATCCAGAGGCAAAAAAGTGTTCATGGTGTACAGTTTGGTAAATAAACAATGATGTGGTATAGTAGGATGGAAATAATAATTTAATGTTGCACTGTTTTGTTTAGAATGGTGCACTTCCATTGAGGTCCTGTGTCTGGTGCAGGTCACGTTACCTCTTCCTGCCTTGATTTTCCTGCTGCCTTGTGCAACGCTGTTAAAGCACAGAAAAACCTGCCTATGAAATTAAGTATTTAAATATTAGAGTTCGAACATATCCCACGTTTTAAAATCATGCAGTTGGTATTCACTGCCATTGCTCAGCTGCAGTGCTCCATGCAGCTCTTTATATTACCCCTGGACCTGTAAAAGGGTAGAATGGAACAAATTATTTTGTTTTCTCCAGAACTTGCATTTTCTGGAAGAATAGGATGGCATTTGTATGCTTTATTACATTGAAGATTATTGAATCTGTCACATTGTGCTGTTATTTAGTGGTAAAGTCGTGTCTGCTGCGATTAGTCAACTCCTTGATTGGTCTTTTGGGTAGAGAGATGTTACTAGTGGGTGTAGTGGTACCACAGGGGCAGTCTGGTTTATTATTTAAACTTACAACTTCACTTCCATCAAGTTAAAGTACCTTCTGTTGCAGTTACACACTTGCACAGCTTCTGACTGCTCTGTGAAGTTCAGTCACATAAAACTGTGAGCCAGGGAGTCTGAATTAGTGTAGTGCCATTGAAACATAAATGTGTTAAATATGGGAGGTAATGCAGAACACATAATTTTTTAATTATTTTTTTTAATGACGCAAAGTGCCCAAACAGAATTGTAAAAACTGAATGCAAGAATATGATCAAGCTGTTCTGGGGCCATCATTCTAAATTTCATGTGGTTTAATAGTCGTGCTACTTCAAAATTGTCCTTTTTTGTTGACAGCGCTTTTTATTTGATGCATGAGTGTTTTGGAATCACATCTAACAATTTTTTTCTCTCTCTTACAGACTGGACTTTGACATTCTTTTCATGAAAGAGGTTTCCAAGTAGTTGTCTTATAATAACTTTGAGAAGAAGTTCTATGTAGCTCTTACTTTTAAGAGTGCTGCAAAAATGATTACTTCAGATTTGCCAGTACTACAGTGAGTATACGTTTCTCTCTGTATTTGAAATCTTTGCTTTTAAAAAGGTTGAAGTAAACAGAGAGGTGATTGTGAGGATAAAGCACAAACTTGAGAGAAGTGCAGGTTAGTGTGACTGTACCAGACCTTCTCTGTTTTCATACACTGAAAAACTGTGTAAAAGAACATAAACCACTTAATCTAAAAGGTATTTCTTTCTATGTATGGAGATTTAACTTTTGCTGTGAAAAGCAAAACAAGATCTCTGCTACTTTTATGCTTCTGAATGTTGTGCGATTTCAGAAGCATGTCTTGGTTTCGGTCCTAACCGACCATGTTGTATGTTCCTGTTGTGCACTTTCTTACAATGAGCTGGATTTATTGTGCAAAAAGCCTTTCTTTGGCTGCTGCAGTTGAAGACAGCAAGTGGCTTGGGCATGTTTTGGTCTTGCTGGGAAATAGGAGTGGCTTTTACACATGGGAACATGGCTGGGCCTGGAGAAAGTGAGCTACTGGGAAGAACAGAGTGGAAGTTCGTAATGAGAGGTGCTGGAGAGTAAATCAAGTAGAGTTAGGAAGGAATTTTGGAGAGAGGAACCTGCTCCCCTCCTCACAGGGCAGGGGGAGAACACGAGGTGAAGAAGCTTGTGGGGCGAAGTAATGACAGGGAAATAACTACAGGCCAAACTGGCTCAGCTTGGGGAAAATTAATTTATTGCTGATTAAAAAGGATTTGGATGATGGTGAGAAACAAAGACAAAACCCACAAAGTGTTCCCTCTTCCCTGTCCTTTCCCCAGTTCCCCACCTGCTCCCCTCAGAGCCCCCCGCCCCGCTCCCCTCACGGATTGCTCACCTCACAGAGCCCCCTCCTTGTCCCCTCACAGAGCCCCCTCCTCATCCCCTCACAGAGCCCCTCCACAGCCCCCTCCATCCCCTCACAGAACCCCCTCCTTGTCCCCTCACAGAGCTCCCCCATCCCTTCACAGAGCCCCCCTCATCTCCTCACAGAGCCCCCTCCTCGTCCCCTCACAGACGCCCCCTCCTCGTCCCCCTCACAGAACCCCTCCTCGTCCCCCAGCCCCCCCATCCCCTCACAGAGCCCCCCCCCAACCCCTCCTCATCCTCTTACAGAACCCCTCCTCGTCCCCTCACAAGCCCCCCCATCCCCTCACGAGCCCCCCTGTGCTCACCCCACTGCCAGCACCAGGCATCTGCACCAGGTATGTTCAGTAACTATCTAATGTTAATTTTTTTTTTTTTTTCCTTTAGAAATGTTTTTTAATGTTGATCTTTTTTTTTTTTTACCATGGGATGTGAAGGGGCCTCAGTTTATCAGGATTGAGTGCCGTTCCAAGCTAACATTTCAAGTCCCCTTATTTAAGAAACTGAATGCTTGGACAAAAAAATCGTTTGTATGCCCTTAATCATAACATGCTCTGCATTACAGTTTTATAATTATTTTTTTTTTATTTTAAAGAAAGTTGGTTGTGGATGAGCACAGGGTAAAGCTGGGGATGGGCAGCATCAGCCTGGGGGGTTCTGATTAGCTTTGGGATTAGTTGTGGGAAAAAAATCTTCTGGGTTCATGTTTTCCTGGATGTGCCACATTCAAGAAGTGAGAGAATATTTGTGAAATATGCCAAGGATCGAAATTTGTGAGGTTCTGTCATGGCCGTGGTAGGAAAGGGATATTCCCGTCCCCAGTTTGAGAACCCAGATGGCCTTAAGAAGTGAGTGAAATATCATAGAGTTTAAGGTTAAAAGTGCTTATTAATGGATTTAGTAACTCTGCACACCAGCTGAAAAACCTGAGGGACATTAAGGGTATCAGCATATTCTTTAATTAGAAGATAATTGTGAGCCACCAATACAATGAAAGATTAAAAAATGGAAGAAAACATGTATCTATTTTTTTTCTGGTAGAACTGGAAAGCATTTAAATGCCACTGTACAAAGTGTTGGTGGGTGAGATATCATCATCAGTAATATCTGCAGTTTTGATTGCTTGTGAACAAGATGAGATCTTTCTTTTTAGAAAAAAAAAAAAAATCAGTAGGATTTGCACATGAAGGTTTTGAGACTCCCCTGAGGGCTCAGAACATTAAGTCTAGTGTGGATGATGTATCAGAGAAAGGGATAAGCACTAATTCAGAAGGTCCCAACCAGGCTTTCATCAGGAAGGAGTCTGGCTAAGGGTGAGGAAAACTGAAGCAATCTTTGGGTTAGGGGTATTTGCTTCACACATTCAGATTTGGGAAGCCACAGTCTGGTTCCACCCAGAAAGCCAAGGTTTTCTTTCTAGCTCTTAAATAAGCTGCTTTGAAGGATTATTCTGATCTCCCACTTCTGTGCCTTATTTCTACTTTTTAATAACATTTTCTAATCTTTTTGGCTACTCTCTTTAAACAATTTGATATATTAATATACTTTGCTTAGGACCATATCAGATACTCCCCTCCAGAATTATTCTCTGTTGAGGGAACATGAAAGGAGAAATCTTTAACCTTTCTGCATTCATGGAATTGGCTTCAGAACCCAGTGAAGACATGATTTCTCTTACTGGTATTTCAGATGTTTGGAGAAAACCTGTGGTGCATTTGAGCCCTGTGATGGACAGTTCTGAGTCTTCTCTCAATGGGATGACTCATGTTTGCTGTGAGGCGTGTTCCTCTTTGGAGTGTGGAGGATCAACCATGAGAGCTGATTCATCCATGATTCATGAGCCTGTGCATTTAGCCATTTTTCTTCATCAATGCTTTTTTTCACAAGGCTGAATCTGGTGGTGGTAGCAATTACTGAATTTATCTCTGCGGAACCTTGAGCCACCTCAGCAACACTGATAAAGGCTTATAGAAGTGTTTATTTACAAAAACTGATACATAAACTCAGTGTTTTGCTGTGGTGTGTTTTTAAAGGGGCATGGTGTGTAAACTCCATAGCTAGTGTTTTATGTAATAGTAGAAGGAAGGTAAATTTGTTTTGATTTATTTTGTGAAATTTACTGTGTTTATGGAAATATGTTCTTCAGAAGCATGACATGGTAAAAGGCTGCCCAGTAATCTGTTAATTCTTTATTAGCATATGGATAGTTTCAGTGGCTAGTTATTAAAACTCCAGAGTAATATCTGGAGTTTTAAGGAGGGATCCTGGAGTTATTGCCACTTTTCTGGGATGCTTTAGTCACCACAGAAACCAGAAAGCAAAGCGGAGTGAACTTGAGCTCCTAAAAGGGGTTATCACCTGTGTGCTTTGCTCTGCTCACCCCAGTTCTGTAGGTCCCCCACACCCTGCCACATTCTCTCATGTCTCTCATGTCAAAGGAGTCTTGGAGAGGAAAGATTCAGCCTTAGGCACTGCCAGCTTCTCCTCTTCTCTGATGAGGCAGCTCTCCTTAGGCCCAGATTATCGTCCCTCACGACAGCTTCAGGAAAGATGAACGGTGACTAAGCCAAAGTTTCCCCCTCAGGTGACTGGTCACACCCCCGTGGAATGAGGACAGGATAGTTCTGGTCTATTAAGATGTGGATAACTGCCACCAGATAAATTGCTTCCCAGCAGTTCTGCGAGACGTGTAGGGAGTGAGGGAGATGGATGCTGGCCAGCTGCTCCTCTCAGTGAGTGTTACAGACCTGACAGAACTGCAGGCAGCTGGGAGATGCTTTGCTCCTGCTCTGAGTTCAGAAAGAGGAGGCAAAGGGCACGTGTGTGTGTACCCTGAACAACTGCAAGGCTGGGACAGGAGCAAGAGGCACAACTGAAGGAACTCAGGGCCCCACTGCAAGGGCATTTTTGTGCAGGAGTTGCCTGATTCAGGCAGAATTCCTGCTGCTTGAAACGATGTTTATTTTAATGTTAAATCGGCCAAGGACTGTAGGTTGTCCTTGATTCTGTCTCCCTACTTCAAATAAATGCCAGGATTGAAGGGAATTTACTTTGTGATGTTTTCCCCTTGCTCCTTAAGTATTTAAATTCTTTGAAAGAAATCTCCTCTCTGCCTCACTGTTGTTAGGATGAGATTCATCTTGTTTAATTTTAAACATTTATACTTGAGCTGCTTGTCTAAGTCAATGAAGAGAAAATAAAACTTATAAAACTTAAACTGTGTCCAATTTTGGACACTGACCTTAGCATGAAGCATGTTGCACCTAAAGATTTTCTGTTCTGCGTTGTATACGTCTCAAATTTAGATTAGATGAATCTCACCCTTAGTACTGATTTATTGAGCCTTTCCCAAAAAGGGAAAAGACCAAAAAGGCTTCCAGCAAGCCAGAGAAGTTATACCAGAAGAATATCAAGAGAAGCAGGCTTAAGACAACAGTCTGTTTAAGGCAAAGAAGAGAGGACAGTGAGTAGTTTAACTGTTTCTTCCATATGCAGTGTTTGGAAACAATTGAAATGTCCAGAACTAAACACACACGTCTCCAGAGGTTTTGCTAGACCTGAACCAAGGCTGTAGCAAAGTCAGATTTTCTGTGGACAAGATGCATGTGAAGTGGTGGTAGAGTTTAGTTTATTTATATAGCTCTAGTGTTTCAAGGGAAGGGTTTGAGCAGTTTGCCTGGGAGGATTGTTGAATCTGGTTTTAATAGAGGGAAATCTTTATATCCCGATGATCCTGGGGGTGCAGGTGTGTAAGCTGGAAAAGCACAGTATTTCTCCAGGAATGGGGGTATTGCTTAGACAGACACACCATGCCTAAAACTTTTCCAGTAAGGATCTGAGCAGACCAGAGAGAAGCTTGGTTTTCTTGCAGAGAGCAGGAGAGAATGGTTTTAATTTCTCTACAGCAGCAGGCAGCAGCAGATATTTTTATGGGGTTCCTCACTATTCAAAAGGTATTAAAATTGCCATTGTGAGGCAATATGCATTTTGTCACGTGGACTCACAGTGTGATGAGGTCTTTGAGTAAAGGCTGGATGCAGACACCCCCATAAACAAGTTTTCAGCAGTGTTCACTGCATTGCTTTTCTCTGCTGTGGCCCCATTTTACCAAATCATTTTGAAGTCTGTGTGGGGTATCTGTTATTTGGCTTTGGGCTTTTTACATTTTTGATTTATTTATTTTTTTTTTCAAATTCATAGCTCGATACTCAATTTTTCAAGTCTCGTATTTTCTGAAGCAGAAAATCTACTTTTTAATTGCATCAAAACAAAGCTGCATTTTCAGTATTTTGTAGAGATGCTGTTTTACAAGCATGTTCTTTGTGAACTCAAATGTACCTGAATACTGTTTTTTAATCTATGGTGCCTGGTTTTCTGGAGCGTGTGGAGTATTTAGAGATAATCCATTGAAGTTACTTCCAGAAAAAGAGATTCATATATGTTCTTCTGCATTCTGGCTTTGGTAAAGGATTCTGTGGACTCCTGGGTGTTCTTGTGCTTGCAAATTGGAAAAAGTTGAAAAACAAAGTCTTGATATTGGAAACTCATCCTAGTTCTGTGGAATGATTTGAGGGAGAGCAGACCTAGACAATACAGGAATTTCAGTGGAGTATCAGAACATTCCTGATTCTGATACAGGAATATCTTTCTGCATTATTAAATAGCTTTCTCGGTCACACCACAAATTTGTGAATTCCTGATCTATGAACCAAAAAATAACCCCCAGACACTGTGGAAGATCTGTGTAGATCTCAGCTCGCTGAAGCCTCTCAGTTTCTGGAAACCAGGTCACTGATCTGCTTTTTGTGTTCGAGGCTCTGTTAAGCACCACATAGGTCTGGTTTTCACCTGCCCCATCTTTGAGCAATCCAGGACGTTTTTAGTTGTTAATTAAAATGTGCAGAGATCTCATGCACTGGTGGTCCTGCACAGTACAGATAAAGCCTGTCAGTAACAGGTGTCATTTTGCATGTGGGCAGGATCTCGTGCCTGGGGAGATCAGCTGCCATCTGATTCCTTCAACCAGCCAGGTCTGCTGGGAAGGCAGAGAAGTACCTGTGCATCTGGCTGGGGACCTGGGGAAAATTGGGGGAATGTTTTTTTTCTCCTACTTAGTATGGTCTTAAATCTGAAACAGCAACGAAAATGGCAGTGTGGGCTTCTCTGCTAACAGGCATTGAGCAGAGTCCAGGCTTTTCCTTTGTACAAGGGAAAATATCTTTGTAACTGCAAAAATCATAAATGTGTTCAAACCAAAGGGACTTTTCTGGGCCTCCCAGTCAGCATTAATCCTCTTGATTAACAGCTGCAAGTGCTGGGGGTGACTGCAAACAGTGTAACCCAAGTAAAACTTGTGTAACTGTCCCAGTGAGGTGGCAGCTGCACTGACCCCACAGGGCTGTCTGTGGCCCTGAGAGAATGGCAGCAGTCACTGAGAGGGAAAGAAAGTTGATCCTGGGGAACACATCGTGGGATGGATGTACTGGGGATGTGCTGGTTAATATGGCCAGCTTGGAAACATAACATGGCTTCAAGTGAAGCTGGTAATTTAAAGAACTTCCAGTCAATAAAATGATATTCCAGCCCATGAAAAGGTAAGGCTGTTTGCCAGGGCTAACAATGCTTGGTTCCTTGGTTTGCAGGATGAATGTGGCAAGCCTTTGAATGCTGACTTTGTTTGTTTGTCTGTTTTCTGGCTTAGGACTAAGTATTTAATCAGTGGGTTGTAGATGACTTGTTGCTTTCAAATCATTTGAATTTATCTAGTGTTTTTCCCCCCTAGGGATTCTACGAACGAAACTACTGCACATTCAGATGCTGGCAGTGAGCTTGAAGAAGCAGAAGTCAAAGGAAAAAGAAAAAGGGGCCGTCCTGGCAGGCCTCCAGTATGTGTAATTTAGTTTTGCTTTGTTATGCATCTATTTAAAATTGACTGCAAACTGTTTTTCATCTGATCATCTTGTGGTCACATAAATAGGCTTTTATTGAGTTCTGTGTCAAACTTTATGAAGACTTGTAGTATGAAATATTTATCAGATTGATATGCAAACAGTGTTTGGAGTGTCTAAAAAGGGACATAAAAATGATCTCATGATAGCTATTAATTTTTCTTTCACTTGCTGCTCACATGGACATTAGAGTTTTGTTTTTATTGCCATATTGCATCGTTCTTGCAGACATGAGAACATGTCAGTAAGCACAACCACTTTCTGTTTGAAGGTTGTGATGGATTTTAAGTGACAGATGACATTTGAGCCATCCTTTCAGTAAATGATAATCTCTTGATGGGAAGAGTTGCAGCACAGTATTAACTAGATGCCTCAGAAAATCTATTGGCATATCTGAAAAATTCCTGTAATCAGCATAAGCTGCATCCCACGTGTAGATTGGGAGCCTGAGCCTGTTCTCTGGCACAGGGCAGTGGGGGACCTTGTGTCTGCTGGGCAAGATCTGCTGGTTTGCAAGAGCCTCTGCCACTGCTGGCCCCTGAATAGGAACGTCCAGAAGCATACCCTACTGCACAGGGTATTTAAGGAGGCTTCTCTTTTATTTAAATTTGTTTGATAAAATAGCCAATTTATTGGAAAATAAAGGGAAAGTTCTGTGTGTCATGTTGTTCTTCATCTTGGTTCTTGAAAGGCTTCCACCCTAAGTCTTAAGTCTTTAAACATGGGCTGGTGAGGCTGTAGGAGTGGAGGGAACCTTGTGTTCCTCTCCAGTGTGCTGGCCAAGCTGGAGCAAGTTCCTCCTTAGGACTGGTTTTCACTTTGCATCAGTTTCTGAACTTACTTTGGGAGCCAGCATTTTAACTCCTGGTCTCTTCTGGGCACGTTGTCTTCCTTTTTTGAAGGATTTTGAACAATTCCCTGTGATGTGAGTATTCATCAGATGAATGGATTTGCTCATGAACAAACTGTAAAGAAGCATGTGAAGAGAACAGCTCATCTGTTTGTGTAGCTTATAGGCAAAGGGCAAAATCAAAAATTATTAATATCTCAGCAGTAAATTTATGGGGTTTTGCAGATCTAATAAAAGAGCCAGGCTGGTGGAACCTGATTGCTAACCCAGAAGCTCATCAGAATGGAGGAACTGAAGTTGTAGCAACACTAGGAGTCTTTTGTACCCAGCACACATTGGCTGGGAGGAAAGGGGAATGTTACCAAAGGCATCTCTCATCCCTCTAGTTCAGTTTATTCCTGTGGGAACATTCACTGGAACACTCTGCTGGTCCTGCTCTCAGGTTTCTACACGAGGAATTGCTCGTGATGCTGAGAACAGCTCCATGAAGTGTGTGTGGCTGTAAGGTGATGAAGATGCAGAGGAAGCAGCCATTGCTTCATCCACAGAGTGATGGGCTGTGAGCTGCCTGCTGCTGCTAAGGAGCAAGACCTTAGGGTTATCAGAGGTGATTCTGGGAAAGCATCATCTGAATGCTTAGTAGGGGTCAAAGCCCCCCAATCCAGTCTTAAAACTTGGAGGAAGAAAATAGGGAGTAAAAGAAATAGTGTCCTTTATAAGGCTGCAGTTTGCAAAAAATTGGAATAACTTATACAGTTCTACCTTCTCTTCCCCTCTTGACCTCCACCCCAAGATCTCAAGAAAGAGTATCTTTAGGACTGGAAGAAATTCAGTGTGGAAAACCAGTAATGTTCAGTCATGGAATGGGGTGGGAGGGAGCTCAGGAGGTCTCATTGTAACCTCCTGCTTGGAGCAGGCTCAGCTTTGGGATTAGACCACAGTGCTTGTGGCTTTTCCAATTTGGTCTTGAAAACCACCGAAGCTGGAGACTGCACAGCCTCTCTCAGCTACCTGTTTCATTTTATTTTATGATAAATTTCTCCCCTGGTTCTTCTACATAAAAAAAAAATACCCAAAAAGCAAAAAGCCACTCAATGTCTAATATCCTTGAGGAGAAATGCAAACACCTTGGAAAGGCCAATCTAAGCAATTAAATTTACAGTGTAATTTGATGGATCCGTGGACTTAGTAATTGAGGTATTGGGTTTGCAACCATTGCATTTCAGTTCCCTTCCCCCTCCACATTCTCCCCTCTCCATGTTGCCAACCCAGACACTTCCCTCAGGTGAGTTGCCTGGTTCTTACAGGAGGTGCAGCTCTGACATTTCTTTCCCCCACTCTTCCCTCTACTAATGTGATTTTTTTGTCCTCCACAGGTACCACTTACCTTTACTCTCAGATGTGAAATGTATTAAAGTATGCAGTTAAATTTAGAGATTTTTTTATCAACTGATACTTAGCTTTGATGTTTTTCATTTCTGTTGTAGACCTAAAGAAAGCTTGTTCTGCCCAAAGGCTGTGCTGGTTTTTGTTGTTGTTTTTTTTTTCTTTACTAAAATATTATGGTCTAATAAGATTTGATCTCTCTGTAAATGCTGATTTGCTGATGTCCTTAGGCCATCAGAGCTACAGTGGCACTTCTACCATAAACTTATTGACTTCTTTTGGAAAGGGAATTTACTCCTCTGTGTAGAAGCATGATTCTGTTACAGAGCTGCACACAATGTACTCCATTAAATACATGTGTGTATTTTAAACAGATTTCTGCTGTAGTTATGGAATGGACTTGACCTTTTATCAGAAAGATATCTACTACTAGAGGATTTTCCAGACTGTTTTCCAAAGAAAGACACTCCTCTTTGCAGATTTGACTTTTGTAAGAAGATGGTGCTTTTTGGAAAATTTGCCCTTTGTAGCAAATACCTCTTTAATTCATAGAGAACCATAATGTTTTGGGGGTGCCTTCCCCTCCTGAAAAACTTGGAACTGGTTGATCTTTAGGATCCCTTTCAACCCATGTCATTCCATTCTCAAATGCTGCTTTTCAAGTAGCCCCTCCACTTCTGTGGGTCTATTCTAATGAATAATTCACTGAGTAGGCTAGACAGTAAATTTGCAAAGAGGTGAAGTGTACTGGGCTTTCAGAACAGCTCTCAGAATCTCTGATTGTCCTGAGGTCCCCAGCCCTTGCTGTGAATTCAGCAGGAGCTGCACTGTGTCCTGCTCTGGCACCAGTGGTGGCTGGGGCCTCTTCCAAACACCGGCTGCCTGTGGAGTGACTGGCCACGGGGTGAATCTGTCCAGGCACTGGGATATTTTGGTGCATGTTTTTATGTGGTGCTGTGTGTGAAGGTCCCATCTGCATATACATTTAATGAATTCTGTGAGGGGTATTTAAGGAGTGACCTCTAAAGGTCCTCTGAATGCAGCTCCTCAGTAACATTGGCCCAAATGCCCTTTCTGTCCGTTGCATTGTTGAAATACGTGGGTGTGGATGTGCCTTCCTGTTCCAGGGAGGGGATATGAAAGGCTTGTGATGCAATGCAGCGTTCACATTAATGAGCTCTGGCTCAGATCAGTTATTTATCTGTCCTTTTTGTCTCCTCTCTTGGATCAACACTGTTCAGCATTGTTGGAATGTTTTATTTTAACCTACCTGGCCTTACCTTCCCAGGAGCTCAGAATAGCTTGGCTTAAACCTCAGCTCTTAGAGACTGAGGGAATGAGAGACATGCCTGGCTGTATTTCAGCTTTGGAGTAGGAGTAGACAGATGCAGCCTCTGTAACTCAGGATAAGAAGCAGCAGCAGTCCCTCTGTTCCAGAGGTGGCAATTTGGAGATCTCTGCTGGTGTCTCTCTCATCCCATACTCAGGGCCACTGCCTGTCTTTTCCCAGTTAAGGCAAGATGGAACAAGGCACTTCTGATCTTTTTGTCCCCGGAGCAACCTGGACAGTTTTGCTTTCAGGTCCTTCTGTAGTTTTTGGTATGGAGTAGACACTACACAGTGCCTTATCTTTGCATTCCTGTGGGAAATTTTAACTTTGCAGCAGACTCCTGGCCTTATTTAATCTTGTAGCATAGATGTTAGATACAGCAGGGGATTGCATTTTGCTTCTAGTTCCAAATCATCCATGTGCTGATTAATAACGGGAAGGAATCCTCTTTGAGGACTTTCTCCCAGCAGTGGAGGTTTGTGGTTTGGTGTGGTTTCCACCAGTGTCCTGTTTCAGCTTGCTTGCCTGATGCTTCAGGTCTGTCCCTTCAAACTGAAGTCGGTCTGTATTTCACTAGAAATGCAGTGCATCTGTAGCATCAGTGGGAAGACTTTTCTATTCCCCCACCTGTAGCTTCCTGGTGGAGAAATCCTAACAGCATTAGAAGTTTTCCTTTTAAGCTTTTGGTGGGATGGTCCTTGTATTTTTGCAATCTAATTTATTCTTAATTTTTCTGTGGTAGTGGTCTTGGTAGCAATTGCCTCAGCTAGAAGGATTGAAGTGCTTCAAGCATTTATAGCAGACTCCTTGATTCTTTAAGATGACATTTGGAACTCTTGATAGATTTTTACATAACAGCATCCCCAGCATCCCCAGCACTCCTCTGCTGGTTTTTTTGTCCTGACCTGGAAGTGCTGCAGCTGGAGCAGCTCTGTACACGCTGGGGGCTGGGGGACCTGCCTCTGTCTTTATTTGCAGGATGAGGCTTTTCACAGGGAGCGCCTTGTTTGTTTCTATGACCAAAAAAAGTCCAAAGGAGTGACTGTTTGAATCCAAGAACCTTCCCCTGATTAACTGTGCTGATGGTACAAGTTGTGCCATGGGGTTTTTAATCAGGATTAATTCAGAGAGAGCTCAGGCATTACCACTCTTCCACTTAACATGAAGTTATAACACAGAGGTCTCTCAAGAGGCTGATGCTTTGGAAAGACAAGTTCTTCAGTCTTATTCAAGTGGAGGTTAAAAAGCTTCTTCCATCTGTCTTGAGAAATGAGGTATTTATTGCTCTGAATTACTTACAGTGTGAATGCACATAGAGGCCATCATTTTACACTGGCACATTAGGTGGAGTTACTGACCTGTAACGCTTCTCCTGTCTTTATTTCTTTGTGAAGTGCATCAGATCAACTTGGGGAATGTTAATGGAAGATGTCCAGCCACTTTCCCTTTTTTTTAATAGTGTGTGAATTAACTTTTACTGTATTACTTGATTTTATAAATGTGGGTCACTTTTTTTCCTTCACAATGATTTTAAAGACATGAAAGGAAAAGTGTTACTTGCTACAGAATTCTAAACTGTCATTGTTTTAGTTTAATTGCAATCAAGGTAAGTATTTTGTTTCCTGATTGCCTCAGTTTAAGCGTCGAAGCAACAGGTGAGCTGTGTGCCCATCAATGTGGCCATTTTAGAGCTGCTTCTGGGGTGTGGTCTGGACCTTCTGAATTTATAAATCCTCAGTTTTGGTTGTTGTCAGTTGAATCTGCTTCACAGATCTGAAACATCATCAGTAATTTTTGTTTTCATTTGGCACCTCGGTCCTTTTTTGACACCACACCAGCCCAGCTGTCCTGGGTATCAGGGTGAAAGCACAGGTGTAACTGCTGCAGGCTCACAGCTCCAAGCAGCACCTTTCTTGAGGTGTTGTGTGATTAAAAACCTCAAGCATTCTTATCTTGTTATGCTGCTTTATCCCTCCTCTGGTAGTCCTAACTCCCCTCAGTGTTGGCTCTGCCACTGCAGCAGATACTTGGATTATGGAAGTTGTTACAAGGATTTATGAGTACATTTAGGTGTGGTATTGCTAACCAACTTGTCTTTTCCAGGACTTTTCAGAGATCCCTCTCATAAACAGGAGAAAAATCAGTTTTGAGTCTGGAAAACAATCAGTTCTTAACCACCTTGGGATTCTGACAGTCTAATGCTTAAAAAGACAAAAAGTTACAAACATATCTGACTGTCAATGTAAGGCTGGAACTTTGTGGCTGGAAGGGTGTAAAGGGACATGTAATGACCACCACTGTGCTCCTTTCCTGTATCTTGATGACCGTTTGGTGGGTCTTCACAAGAGAAGACCTGCTCCAAGTTCATTCTGCTCTTATGAAACATCCCCTTTTACACCAGTCAGCGATGGTCTGATGGGTTTGCTGGGGCCACACTCATCCTTGGGCAGGGCTGTTTCTGTGGGGAAGCTCTTCATGGCATTAGAGGATGGGTTTGTTTTGTGTTGAGCTGAAGGATCACCCTTTGGTGAGTGCAGGTGTCTCTTCTGGGATGCAAGGCTACCTCTGTCTGGCATCCTCAATGCCAAATGTAATTTTTGGATTCATAGCTTGACTTTGCCACTGCACTTCCAGGAACACCTGCCTCTGCAGGTACTCCACAGATACTCTGGATCACGAGTGAGTCCTCTTTGTGTTTCTGTGCATGTACCAGTCCATGCTTTTCCTTCACTTGCCTCAGCAGTGTTGGATGTCTCCATCCTGGGATAGAGTCGTAGAGTAAGTGTCTGCAAGGGGCCTCAAGGATCATCTGGTCCAACCTTTCTTGGCAAAAGCACAGCTAGAAGAGATAGCCCAGCCCCCTGTCTGGCTGAATCTGAGGTGTCCAGCGCTGAGGAGCCTGCTGCTTCATCTCACTGTGAAACATTTCCCTTTTGAAATAGGGTTTCTCTCTGCCCTTTGTGCTCAGGGGTAGAACCTGTACAAAGCTCAAACATGTCAACATGGCCTGAAAAGTTTCTTGCCGTAAATTTGGGGGCGCTGTGCAAGTAATGCTGTGTGTTCATGAATAAGGTAATGCCATGGGCTTTGTGCTTGCAAACCTTTAGAGGAACAGGCAGTTCATGGAGGCTGGAGGACCCCTGTGAGACTTGCTTTCATGTTTGCACTCTGGGTGAGACTGAGCTTGGGCTCCCTGTCAGATACCTGCTGGGTGGGAGTGCTGTGGAATGGACACAGTGCCTCTCCACCTGCAGAGCATGTTAATCCTTGCCCAGCTCAGAAAGTTCTACTGTTGGATTTTCTTCAGTTCCTAGTGGAGGATCTTTTGTCTGCTTGTTTTGTCTCTTGAGGCAGGATTCAGCACAGATCCTGCATCTGGATTTAGCTGCCCCAGCTTAGATGCAGAATGGCTTTTCTTAAATAGAAGACTTGTTTTCTCCCCTGTGAGAGGTGTTCTCTTTGTCAAAAGAAAATTTATACCAGAGAGAAGTCGACTCAGTTATATATCTGGTGTTAATTCAGGGCCAGGATGTTGAGATATTTCCTTGGGCTTGAGGAATCTGCCTTTGTCCTGCAGTTAGTCAGAAGTACATTTGTTATTTCTGTACCTCTTCTGAGGGCTCAGTGGTGTTCTCACCCTTCCAGTTCAAACTACGAGTCTTGGTCAAAGCCCCTCCCTTTTCCCAGGATACCTGACAAAGAGGGGAATTTGAACTGGGCATTTACATGTGCAGTGATTGCTCGTTCTGAGTCTGTCCAGAGTACTCTTGCTCAGGTGCTGAAGCAGGTGGCCCTTCTCATGGCTTCCCACTAACAAGGTATCTTTGGGGGTGTGCCTTTCCCATCCACTGCCTGCTTCCTTTCCCTTCATCCCTGCAGTGTTTAATGCCTCCCTTTGAATGACATGGTGAGAAAAACTGAGCATAGAGGGGCTTGCATTAGTGCACCAACTTGCATTCCTACTTCCATTTGGCAGGACTTGTAACTAGTTGAAGTGCTTACTGTCACCCAGACTGAATGAGCACATGGATTGTACATCTCCAAAGAGTCAATTTGCTTCTAATTCTTTGCCATTTTATGAAATAGTGATCATGTGTCTCTTTGGAGCTCAGTAGCGCTCCAGCACTTCACGTGTTGAAAACATTCTTGCTGGTACAGGCAGCTTTGCACGTGTTTAAAAATTCAGTGAGGGAGATACTCTTTTGATCCTAAGTGCAAATGTTACCCAAAAAACTTCACAGAGGCTGTACTGTTATTTTAAGCTTTCTAGCTCTCATTTCTATGCGAGACCTTAATTGAATATTTTCAAGAGGCAGTTGTGCTCTGCCTTGGCCTTTCTTCAGCTCTGCCCCCCCAGCAGTGGTCCCTTTGAAAGCAATGGCAAAGCTGGACTGCAGGGCTGTCTTCTGCCAGAGGTTAGATCCCTTTGCTCTGAAGGAAGATGTGTCTGCATTGGAATATGCAACTGAAAACGTTGACTTTATGTTCTTTACTCAAAGCTTTGATAGCAGTTTGGCTTACAGTGTACTCCAGTAAATGGTACTGTGAGGGATTGTCCTAAATGTCAGCTTTGACTTGCTTGTGTGTTGTCTTCCTTAACATAATTCCTCAAAATAGCTTCACTGTTCTGGGAAAAACAGCAGCTTTTGCTTTTTTCTGCCTCAGTAGGTAGAAAAAATAGAATATGGAAGTAAAAAAATCTGATGTTGTTTTCCCCAGAGTTCTTTTTTTTCTGTTTCACAAGTGACATAAATTCAGAGCAAACTGTTCAGCAGGTGAATCCTTACAAGTGGTATCTATACCACTGATAAAAAGGTTGAAGAATCTTGAGAAAATTTACATTAAATAATTTAGATTCACAGGGAAAATGTTTTAACTCATAGAATTTTGAAGCAAGGGGCTGCTGTGATGATCTAGTAAATCTGACTGTACAATTCAGTGATTGGTGTGAAGAGATGACTCTGTACAGAGCTTCTTATAAAAGTTACGTTAAAATGAAAATACGGAAAATGAATGTTAATATGACAAGTGTATTTTTAATAACTTATTGTCTTACAAAGGTTGCTAGTTATGCTAAAAGTTTATTTTGTGTTCTCGATTTCATTTGTGTTGTGTAAAACTAATATGGGTACTGACATGAGCTGGTACTTCTGCACTGGGAGTTCAGCACTGCTTACCTTGCCATGGCAGTGGCTTTGCAGCTGTTCTCAATAACTAGTGATCAATAAATCTGTGTACCTGAGTGGGTAAAGCCCTGACAGCCTGGCTGAACTCCAGGCTGCCCCTGCCTTGGGCAGGAGGGCAGGCTGCACACCTGGGGAGATCCCTTCCAGCCTGGCTTCTCCTGGGATACTTGGATGTGTGTGTGTGTGTGTGTATCAATGTGTCATACTGATGTATAATCTGTAAAGCCTTTGGGTGATTTCAGGTCTGGCTATAATAAACTTTCACTCTGCTGGTTTTCTTTGCCCAGTCTGCCACCAAGAAACCCCGCAAGTCTCCAGCAGACAAGGGGCGTTCCGAGTCCGGAGCCAGAGGAGCGAGTCGTGGAAGAGCTAATGGCCACCCTCAGCAGAATGGAGAAGGGGACCCTGTCACTTTGTTTGAGGTGGTTAAGCTGGGAAAGAGTGCTATGCAGGTAAAATATCTAATTGTGTCCCCCCTTCCCAGTTCCGTGTGTCCTGATTGCAGGAGTTCAGTCTAAGCTTTTGTAAACAATTGTGTTTTCTCATAGCTCTTGGTCCAATAGACTGTGTGTGTGTAAAGTGTGGGACAGGATGGGCTTGGATTGAGGGCTGTCATGTGTACTTCTGAAGGACAAGAGGCACATCAGAAAGTCATGCATTTCAAATTCTCCCTTGTTTTGTTCATTACTTCCAAGTTAAAAGTACATGTTGGTGTTAAGCAACCCATTAAAGAATATCCTGGAATCAGATTTATTGGAGGAAAAAGTGTATCATATGAGTGATGGATCCAAGGCCTGTTTTGTTCACTGGTGTTTTCAAGAATAGCTGCTGCCACAAGCAGTTTGGAGGACTTTGCACCACAGTTTGCACTCTTGCTGTCCCCAGCAGAACAGCAGATGAAGGCTCAAGTAGTAGCCTGGTCTTCCTCTGTGTCTGAGCGAAAACATGGACACGTCTTCAGGCAAATTTTCATTGCAAAACAAATCAGGCACTTGTAGTGAACTGCCTGTGGAAATGTTTCTGACTACTTTATGTTTAGAGGCCTTATAGGGTCTGTGGGCCACGTGAGTCCACCTCTGGAGCCTCCAGAGATGATTGGTTTTGACAGTGCATGGTTTTAGTAAAGCTGCTGTGCTGCAGCCAGTGTGTTTGGCACTCACAGGGGAGACACTGGGCCCAAAACACTGCTCAGCTGGGGCAGTGCAAAGCTAGCAGTCCTTCCTACTCAAGGATTGTTCAAGCAAACCTCCTTTTCTCTGCATTTCAACAGAACAGGGCTTGGGCAGTTATCACTTTGTTTGTTTGCTTTGGTGCTGACTAAGAGAGAAAATTACAAATTTTGAAAATGAGGTGCCAAGTCCCATTTGCAGTATCACTTTCAGTGGAGCTAAAAGCTGAGTCTGATGAACTCCCAAAGGAATCAAATGTTCCAAATGAATGAAAGCTGTTGAAAATTTTCTTTCAGTCTCAAATCTGTGGAAGGTCTGAGATGTAATTTTAAGTAAGTAATGAACTGGTAGAAAATGAGAAATTTTTTTTCTTCTGTTTCTGTATTTACACTCATTCAGGGTTGACCTTCTTATCTAGTAGGTGAAGACAGAACAAATTTGCTGCTAACAAAGCTACAGGTTTCTTGTGCCTTTTTTGCCTGCATCAGAGCTTCCAACTTTGCTTGGTTTGCAACACTTTTTCAAATTTCGTTTTTGGCAGGATTTGAGGAAGCATCTGGAGTCTATTTTCTGGTTTTACCGTGATACAGAGCATACAATATACTTCATATAGTATGTTTGTCTTAAGAGTTATTGATATTTGCAGGAGCCAAATGAAAAGCAATGGGTGATTACTTTGATATTTAATGACTCCATGTGTGTGTGTGTGTGGGATTGACTTTGATACATGTCATCTATTTCAAAAGAGATGCCACCAGAAGTCTGCAGATGAGATTCTAAAAAAAAACAACCTGTCTGCATGTTTGTATTAACCTTTGGAATTCAAATGCAAAGGAATTGTCCTGAAAAATGGAGCATTTGTATATGCCCATGTAGATGGCTGTGTCTGTGTCCTGGAGTGTTTATACAGACATCCCATATATATGTGCACTCACATCCCTAAACTACCCAACCTACATGGAGGAGAGAGGAGGAGACAGCACAGTCTGAGCAGGGGAGCAATTCCATGCAAATAGTAAAGGAACAGGCAAGTGTATTTAAAGGCCTGGGATACAAACAGGCATAAATTGCTTGAGCCATCATTTCAAGAGGATGTGTTACTTTTGCACCTTTGAAAAAATTTCTGTTGGTAAAAAAATTAAAAAAAAAAAAAAAGAAACCCTGTAGTAGGAAAGAGAATGCAATTAAAATGTGATTTAATGTTTTTAACTTGCACTTCTGGACAAGAATCTCCTGTAAAACCAAGGTTCTATAAGCTAAACTCATTAAACTTTATCTATAAGATAAACTTATATTTGTCTATAATAGCTTAGGGATTTTAATGTCACAGTTAGGAATGCTTGGCATTTCTGGTTTTCATAGTTTTGATGCAGATTTTTTGTGCTCAATCTTAGCAATTTTGTCAGTATTCCAATTTTCAAACAAGTGCCATATATTTGTATTTGTCAGAACCTATTGTTCCTCAATATTTACTTCTTTCCCTGTAATATGAACAGTCTTTTTTTTTTTTTTGTAGTGCTCCCATGTTTCCTTCCAACAATAAAAACCCAGGAAAACTCAGTTAATATATCCTGAGATGACATGAGAATTGTGTGCTTTCATTTCTGATCTATCTGCTCCTGCTGTTTGCTCTCAGGATTTATTTTAGTTGTTAGGTTTTCCTGGCTTTGTGATGCCAACTCATGGAAGTCCGTAGCTGAATTCAATTCCCACTTCTTTTAAGCTTCTACTCTATTTTAGTTCTCACAGCAGGATTCATTTACTACTTCTCTTCAGGCTTATTGCTGGTTCCTTCTTTCAGGGTCCCAAAGTCAGATCCATATTTTGTATTTCACATGTACATAACTTGGGGGTTGCTCTTTGCATAAAGTCTTTGCCTCTCACTCAGTGCTGGTTGTGTTGGTGCTCAGTGTTGTTTGGGCTCTGTAAATCCACTGATACCCACGGGAAGTTGGGATCAGATCGTTGGCAGTGGGTTTAGTTTGCTCTGGAACCCTCTGTACAGTCACTTGTTCAGAGGTTTTTCTGTCACAGCTCTTTGTGTGAAGTGTGACAGGACATGCAACTCGTTTTCTGCAGGTACATTTGTCAGCTTTCCTCCATTAAGACTGTTCATAGAACTTTTTTAGACTGTGCTTTTTATTTTCTGAAGCAAACATGGCACTCTCCTGCTTTTTATCATTTGTCTCTTCCGTTTATTTACTTTTTCCTTCAGTAATTTTATGGAGACAGCTGCACCCACTGTATTTCCTCCCTCCCCCTCCATAGGCAGAATGGGCTATATCAGCATTTCTCATGTACTAAACTGCCTGACTTCACAATGGTGGGAATGAAGGACTGGGGGAACCTCCACTCCTGCAGCTGAACCCCTAGGCAAAGAGTTCAATCTTCACAGGCACTTCTGCACTGCTCTCTGACCCTGGTGTGAAGCTGACAGTGAGATAAAAAGCTTGAGATGATCCTAGATTTTGTTTAGGCCTCAGACTGGAAATTTCTGATCTGTAAATTTTGACCAATTTTCTGTAATGAAGTTTGTACTGCTGTTGGTCAAACCAAGCAAAGCAGTGTTCTGCTTTCCTGTGTGCTCAGGGGATTTGTTCCCCAGAAGAGCAGAGAGAATGGATCCTCAGTGATTCTGGGAGGTGCTCAGCAGCAGAACACGAACAGATCTATGCCTCGATTGCTCTGGGATATTCTGTGCTTTACAGTCACCCTTAACTGATGTTTGCAGGTCACAACAGATTAGAGGCTGACTTGGAATAAAAAACTGCCCCCTCTGCTTGAGCTCAGCCAGTAAAGGTGATGCTGGTGTTGGTTAGACATGGCCCAGAGTAAATGTGGCTCCACTGTGTGCCAGCATTTTAGGGGATGTACCCAAACAGAGCTTTCTGGTGTGCTGAAATGGGAGTTTTCACTGGGCCAACAGTTCTTTTTGTCTCTGCAGAGAGCAGCAGTGCATGTGGTTCCTCACTGCTCTTGTGTGGACACCTTGGCACGTGGGCATTTGTGTCCTTTGAGTTCCTCCCCTGTCCCAGTAACGTCCCAGTTTGTAGCACTGTGTTCCCTGCCAGGAGAAGTTTCCTTTGTCTCTCCTGTTTCAGCCTCAGGGCTGTGTCACCTTTGCACCTGCTGGGCTCGTGGTGATGAGGTGTGGCTCTTGCTCACAGTGCTGCCCTGACCAGAGGGTTTGAGAAGAGAGCAGGAACATCAGGAAACCTTTTTTTCCCTTCAGTTAACTATCTGAAAGGATTCAAACTTTCATTATTACTAATTGAAAATGTTTCTGAATTGTTAACAGTATTTTCAGTATTATTTTCAATATGATGCTGACTTTCAGGGTTTATCCACCTCCCTGTTGCAGACTGAGGTTCTACATGCAGAAAAAAAGGGGATGCATCCTTACAAATCCACGTTTGGTGTGTTGGAAGTAAAGGAAGCACTGCCCTCCTTTCATCAGGGCTTGCTTTGTTCTCTATGCACTACATGTTAATGGTGTGGTTGCCACTTTCTTTCATCACAGTGTGTCAGGCTGGGGTGACATTTAGTCATCAACATCTGTTTCTGAAATTATTTTCTGATTGGGATTCCTGGTACCTCCAGTCTTTTCTTCAGTCCTTTAGAGATTTGATGATCTGCACAAGAAATGCAAGACGGTTCTTCCAAAGAGCTGGTACATCTTTATTGGTCTCATTAATGTGGCATATCCCTGCAGCTTCTGTAGTTTTTGTATTTTCATGGCATTTAGGGAAGAAATGGATGTGGTGCCTGTGAGGGCGAGGCTGCTCCTCTGGGGAAGGGGTTGGTGGCCGAGCAAACTCCACTTTGTGCTCAGCTTTCTCGCCCGGTTCCTGACACATCCTGCAGGGATTCAGCTTTGCTTTCCTGCTCTCAACAGCACCCCTGGAATTTCCCCTCACAGTTATTTTAATCACCTAATCATTATGCAATATAGATAAGCCCAATGGTCCTTCCTCCTTCCTTGTTATGTGCCTGCTTTAATCCTGCTGCTGAACGGATCAGTCCCACCTTCTCCCGCTCCCACAGCTGATGGTTTTACACCTTTCTTGGGTGTTTTGTAGTCACACCAAGAAATAGATTGAACTAGAACATGACACTGGTAGATTTTTTTCAGCTGAATAAGCTTCTTGATTCAGCTCATCTCTGGCAGCAGCTCAGCCTTACTCTTGATTAGAATGACGGTGTAACCATATCCACCTTACGCAGGAGGAATTCCGGGTATGTTTTTACATATATACTGGAGATTAAAAACATCAGAGCAGCTG